CTGTAGATTCAAATCTTTATTTCAGGAAAGCTTCTAGAACATCTGTGACGATTTTTTTCTGTTCCATTTATTGCATTTTCTACTTTAGGAACGCCAAGTATCCAGCTTTTGTACTCTGTACGTCTTTCTTATTTGAACTTTGTATTTGTATTTGTATCCATCCAACATGTCTTGGTACTAATCCTCCTTCCTCCAAATATTTTACAATGCTTTCTTTCTGTTTCATTTTCTTTTCATTTGTGTTCTCAATTGTATTCAGTCAGAAAACTTTTTCAATTATATTTATTCCAGTTCTTACTGTTTCTACGGGTCTATGTATCTCTGTGATATTACTATTTTTTTCCTTTCTTTCTGAACTAGGCCAGCCTACTTTTCATCTCCTTCTGTGGCCTTGGAACCTCTTTGCACTCTTGCATCTTTTCTTTGAGCTCTCTTGTCAAAGAGAGACTGTTTCATCCCACACTCTTTAAGATCATGGAGAATTATTTGTTGGACTCCGTTTCCTGAAGTAATCCCTCTTCTGATGTATGTTTTTCATCTGCTTTTTGCTTATGTATCTCTCTTCTTTTTTTCAGGAGATGAAGGCCATTTATGGTGTAGGAGCGGAGTGACAGAAAGTGGTTGGAGTTTCCACCATTCAGGAGACAGACTTCCTCTTTTCTTTCTTCTTTTGTTTCTTTTGCCCCATGGTTAACATTTTGGTATATATACTTCCAGAGAGATGTGTACATGATAAGATGACAATATACGTTCTCTTCTGCGGTCTGTTTTCTTCATGTCATATATGTTTTGTTTTGTTTTGTTTTTAAGATTTTATCTATTTGACAGAGAGAGAGACACAGCGAGAGAGGGAACACAAGCAGGGGCAGTGGGAGAGGGAGAAGCAGGCCTCCCGCTGAGCAGGGAGCCCGATGTGGGGATCGATCCCAGGACCCTGGGATCATGACCTGAGCCGAAGGCAGACACTTAACAACTGAGCCACCCAGGCGCCCCCATGTCATACATGTCTTTATGTCATGAAATATATTTCTCCCACATTATTTAAATAGTTGCATTGCATTCCACTGGCATGATATAGCATATTTTTTTAACCCAATCTCTTGGCAGACTTTTCCATTGTTTCCAGTAATTCACTATTGTAACCAAACTGATGCATAATTTAAAATCTCTTATTTTGACTCTCTGGACTTAAAGCTAAAGTTGTGGAGGATCTCACAGGTTTTCACTTTTTCCTTTCCTTCTTTCGTTGAGATGTAATTCACCTGCCATTAAAGCTACCCTTTTAAAATGTACAGTCCACTGGTCTTCAGTACATTCAGAGTTGTGCAACCATCACTGCTATCTGTTTCCAGAACATTTTCATCACCTCAAACAAAGAAACACCGTATCCATTAGCAGTCACCCCCGTCCCCCTCTCCTAGCTCCTGGCAACCTCTAATCGACTTTCTGTCTCTGCATTTGCCTCTTGTGGACATTGAATATAAATGTAATTATAAAGTAAGTTCTCCTTTGTGATTGGCTACTTTCACTTAGCATAATGCTTTTAAGGTTGGCTCATGTTGTAGCATATATCAGTACTTTATTCCTTTTTATAGCCAAATAATACTTCATTGTATGAATACACCACATTTTATTTCTCCATTCATCAGTTGATGGACACGTGGGTTGTTTACACCTTTTGGCTATGATGAGTAAGCTGCTATGAACATTCGTGTACAAGTTTTTGTGGACTTACATTTTTAATTCTCATAGGCGTGTACCCACTAGTGGAATTGCGGGGTCATATGAGAAGGTGAACTTACCCTTGATCCTCGTGTTTCTAATTCCACATGACATCACCGGTCCCTTTGCAATGTGTGCCCCTAAGTAAAGAGCCTTTCAGATTTAGTTCCTACAGACACTGAATCTATAGTTTCCTGCTTGGGTTGGTGGTCACCTTGCCTTAAGGAGTGGAAGAAAAGGACTAAGCTCTGGGCACCTGGGTGGCTCAGTTGGTTAAGCAACTGCCTTCAGCTCAGGTCATGATCCTGGAGTCCCGGGATCGAGTCCCACATCAGGCTCCCTGCTCTGCGGGGAGTCTGCTTCTCCCTCTGACCCTCTTCCCTCTCGTGCTCTCTATCTCTCATTCTCTCTCTCTCAAATAAATAATAAAATAAAATCTTTTTAAAAAAAGAAAAGGCCTAAGCTCTAATACTCAGCTGTTTTCACCCTATGCATCGCCCCCACCTTACACAGTATCTGGTGCCTTGATGGCCTCTGCAGACACTTTAAGCCAGAACTTCCCCCACTTTGCTAATTTAGTTGCCTCTCACTCCTTCAGGGGCTAGGCCCCTTTTATATTTCTTCATTGTCATTTTATTAGGGTTTTGGGGAGGAAAGGCTATAAATACCAGCTTGTTTAACTGGAAGTTGTACTAATTATGCATAAGTCTTTCTGATTATTGTTCATCTTTGAAAGAGACCGGCTTTGTTAAAAATTAGTTGAGAGAAAGATGAGGCCAGTGATCTGGACAGTCGATGTTCCTTGAACGCTGCCACCAAATCTGTTTTGCCTTTGTCTGGGGCCATATTCCCCCAGTTTTCAGGATGTAGGAAGTCAGTGTGGTGACACTCCCTAAGATAGGCTTTGTCTTAGTCTGTTTGGGCTGCTATAAAAAAAACACCGCCAACTGGGTGCTTAAACAACGACATTGATTTCTCACTGTTCTGGAGGTTGGGAAGTTCAAGATCAAGGTGCCGGCAGATTTGGTGTCTGGGAAGATCCCACTTGGTTCGTAGATGGACATCTTTGTGCTGTATCCATATGTGGTATAAAGGATGAGAGAGTTCTCTGGGATCTCTTATTTTTTTTTTAATTTTTTTAAAGATTTTATTTATTTATTTGACAGAGAGAGTAAGAGAGCACAAGCAGGGGGAGCAGTAGAAGGAGAGGGAGAAGCAGGCTTCCTGCAGAGCAGGGAGCCTGATGTGGGACTCAGTCCCAGGACCCTGGTATCATGACCTGAGCCGAAGGCAGATGCCTAACCATCTGAGCCGCCCAGGTGCCCTGGGATCTCTTTTAAAATGGCACTAATCCCATTCAGGACGGTTTCCCCTTCATGATCTAATCACCTCCCAAAGGCTCATCATCAACTTGGGGATTAAGTTTCAACACAGGAATTTTGAGGGGACACAAACATTCAGGGTATACCAGGCTTTCTGATAATTACTATCTCCTCTTTCCCCCTCCCTATCTCTCCTTACTTCCAGCAGATTCCCTCAGGTAGGAGGCTGGGACGTAGATAATAAATATGGCACTTATACGTGGCTTCTCCATTATTTCCACCTTCCTACTGCCTACACCCTGCCTACACCCTGCCTACACCCTACCTCATTCTGCCTACATCCTGCCACACCCTGATGGAGTTACTTTTCTGGAGTCATTCCAGATGCTTTTCTTACGGTTCCAAACAATGAACCATAAGATGGGCTTTCCTGGGGCACCTGGATGGCACAATCAGTTAAGCATCTGACTCTTGGTTTCAGCTCAGGTCGTGATCTCTGTTGTGAGATCGAGCCCCAAGTCAGGCTCCGCAATCGGTGTGGCATCTGCTTGAGATTCTCTCTCTCCCTCTGCCCCTCCTGCTCATGCTCTCTCTCAAATAAATAAGTCCTTGTTTTTTTTTTTTAAGATTTTATTTATTTGTGTGTGAGAGAGAGAGTGCGCACACAAGCAGGGGGAGCAGCAGAGGGAGAGGGAGAAGCAGGCTCCCTACCGGGCAAGGAGCCCAACTCGGTACTCAATCCCAGGACCCTGGATTCACGACCTGAGCACAAGGCAGATGCTTAACTGACGGAGCCACCCAGGCATCCCAATAAGTAAATCTTTAAAAACAACAACAACAAAAAGATGGGCTTTCCAGAACAGTGCCTTTACCTTTATACTTGGCAGTCTACAGCTTCTTTGCGTCACTGAAGTTGGAGACAGGTACAAGAATGTTCAACACTGTCTGTAATAACAAAAAGCTGTAAACAAATGACAGCGACCAGGAGGGTGGATAAATACAGGGTCACATATTCACACAAGGGAATGCAATTCATCAATAAAAATGAGTGAATGAGGGGCGCCTGGCTGGTTCTGTCGGTAGAGCGTGTGACTCTTGATCTTGGGGTCATGAGTTCAAGCCCCATGCTGGGTGTAGAGATTACTTAAATAAAATAAATGAACTGAAAAAACAAAAAAGAGTGAACCATATAGCTGCACACAGCACCGTAGATGGGTCTTAAAAACACACAGTTGAGTGAGAAGAAAAGTAAGTCACGGAAGAATATATACGCTGTGATTTCCATAAATGCAAAAACTCCCTCAACTTAAAATATATTGTGTAGGAAAATAAACATGAGGAACAAATCTCTGAAGAAAAAGAAGGGAATGATTAAGTCACAATTCAGGATAGTAGTTATTGCTCGGAGGGAGAGGAAGGGGTGTGACGGGGCGAGTCCACACAAGACCTTCTAAGGCACTACTGAAATCAGGTTTTTTAAAAACAGGTTGGTAGGTACATGTGTTCATTTTACTGTGATTAGTTGAATTGTTCATGTACATTAAGTACATTCTTTTGTTAGCATGTACTTTCATAATAAAAGATGGAGTGATTGTTCCCTTTTTTCTCATCTCATCTTTTAAAAGATGGAGTTGTTTCTCTTTTTCATTCTTTGGAGGGTTTTTGGGTGGGGAGAGGAGTAAAAAATGCCTCTCCCCATCTTTATCAATGACTCTTTCCCCAGGGATTTGAATAATTTTCATGCCTAGCTATGTAAAGATATGGGCCATTATAGAGCTTGGGTTTCCATGTAACATTGAAGAAAAAGTCCCCGGAGAACTGACATCAAGAAGTTTTGTGACTTCCAAGATTGTTTCTTTCTGAAACCCTTGAGAGGAAAATGGCTTTAATTCAGAAAATGGCTCGGACTTCCCAACCTTTGGCAGTAGCTGGCAACTGTCGTCATTCCGTGAGGTCATGTCTTTGTCGACGGCGCAGCTGCTCAGGGACCTGACAGGTCTCACCTGGAGGCTCCCGGTGCAGTGTGCCCAGATCCATTCCAAGCCTCCGTGGGAGGAGCTTGGGACCATGGATGTTGCCGTTGGGCTTGCCTCCTGCGTCCTGTGTTTCCTCCTGCCATCGGGCTGGGTCCTGTCACATCTGGAGAGCTACAAGAAGCAGGAGTGAAGGGGGCTGTCCTGTCCCTCACTCTGTGACCTGACCACCCCTGGCCTCTCCTGATCATGTCTGCTGCATCCCTGGCCAGTCTTCCCGGGATCATGTCCTTCAATTACAATGACCTCTTCTGCAGTCATGACCTCTCCATTTCTCCATGTTGACATCCGGGGACCACATATATTGGTTTGTAAGGCCCTACTTGGTAGGGCCCTCCTTATAACAATAAAGTCTATTTAAACTTGAAAAAAAATTTTCAGAAAATGGCTCAGGCACTTGTCTGGAGGGACAGTAAGGCAGGGTTGCTGCAACAGTGACAAAGGAAGTAGCTAGGGGGACTTCACCTCTGCCTGGGCCTCCGTGACTCCCAGAAAGAGAAGGGGGGGGACAGGTGGTCTAGGTGAGCAGTCGCTGGCCCAAGGTGAGACCTGCTTGAGCAGATACCCAGTGGACCCATGCCCACCTCACATGGCATGATGCCTGCAGGAAGGGTAGATATTTTTTCCCACTCAGGAGCTCCAGATCTGTTCATGCCACAACAAATCTTGAGTTGAGCTGTGAGTGCTCAAAGCCATGGCCCGAAAGAGCCTTCATGTTAGAACTTGGTGGAAAGACGGGGGTAGGGGTGGTGCACATGCCAAGAGAGGTCAGTGGAATCAGGCAGTGCCTGGGAGGGAATTTGGACCTTATCCTGAGCAATGAAGAGCTGTTAAAAGGGTTTAAGCCAGGAAGAGACAGGATAAGATTTGATTGAGAAAGCATGTAATTTTAAAAATGCTGGTAAGACTTCAACAATTTATTTAAAGGAATAAACTGCATTAATCACATCAGCATCTACATCGATTATAATGATGTCCATATGTGGGTAAAATATGCTTTCACTCTGTGAGAGAGGGAAATCCTGATGCACATCAGGAGTCAGAGACACTTTAGGCAGCCCTCTTGGGTCCCCTCCCTCTTCAGAAGCGTCATACTCTCAATAAACTTTGCTTTGCAAAAAAAAAAAAAAAAGGATTCAGAGACCCTTTGCCAGACTCTGTGCCCACAACTTACACCCCTCCGAGGCTCCGGGCTCACAGGGTAAGCGCTGCCAGTCCAGTTAATGTTAACGCTAAACTGTTCTTGCCAGCAATTAGCAACAATTTCAGCTTCTTTCCTTAGGTTAAGCCCATGTCCCCAACCTAGGAGGAATGCTTGCTTTCTCATCTGCGGTAAAGGACACACATCTAAGGTGCATGCCCTGCTGTTGCTTTCAACCACTTAAGTATGTGCAAAAAATAAGGGAGGAACGAATGCACAACATGTATCTATACCAATTAGGACTGTTAGCAAAACTAATAAATAGTATTAGGATGCCAGTTTCGAATTTGCTTGCCTCTTTTATCCTCACAACATCAGCAGAGGTGGATGCCGCTGTTGCAATTGGAATTAACGACTTAATTATGTAATCTCTGTTTAGTATCCAGGTCCTGTGAAAAGTTCAATGAGGGCAGGGGACATGTCTGTCGCGTTTGCCCTTGTATGCCTGGTGCCTTGAAGAGTGCCTGGCATGCATCCAACATTCAAAATGTATTTTTTGAGTCCTCTTTTATAAGTGAGGACACCAAGGCTTACAATTGTTAAATAGCTTACCAACTATTAGGTCACCAGCTAATCCAAACTCACATCTGTTGGATTTCATCTTCTTACTGGCTCCCACATAGTCTAAGGTTTTATAAGGATCACATAGCTTGGTCAAGTTTCTAGCTATTAAATAGAAAGCTATTGAAAGATTCATTAACACCTTTTGAAAGGTCGTAGACATTTTCAGAACATAAAGCAGAATTCAGAGGTGGGCTGCAGTGGAATGGTTATGTTTAAACTTGCTATGTTTCATGAAGATATGACATTGAGAAATTCACACCTGACATTTGAGAATAAAAAGCTGGCTTAGAACTTGGAGGAAGTATTGTTGGGTATTTGCTCAGCTAAATCTTCCTAAGCTTGTTATCAATAAAGAAGGTGTTTTTATTAAAATAGAGATCATGGGGCACCTGGGTGGCTCAGTCGTTAAGCATCTGCCTTCGGCTCAGGTCATGATCCCAGGGTCCTGGGATCAAGCCCCGCATCGGGCTCCCTGCTCAATGGGAAGCCTGCTTCTCCCTCTCCCACTCCCCCTGCTTGTGCTCCCTCTCTCACTGTGTCTCTCTCTCTGTCAAAAAAATAAATAAAATCTTAAAAAGTAATTAAATAAAATAGAGATAATTATGATTTTATAGCCTTTATCCTTAACTGCTACCTTTCTTGGAGGAGGGTTCCCATTGTCATGGGCCACTTGGCATTCATCATTCTTACCTTGCTTGCCTGAAATTGTTGCCCAAGGAGGCCCGAGTCCTGATTCCAGCCCCTGCCTCACACCTGGCCTGGCCTGGGCACACACTGCCTGTTAAATATTCAATACTCCAAGGCCTGTGAAAGAAGCATAGGAAAATAAGATTACCATTTCCCATAGGAAGGATATTGAAGCAATTGTGCAAGCTACCTATGACGAGAGAGGGAAGTTAAGTCTCTGGGAATGGCTCCATTGGGAGTAAATAACAAGTCCCGGCCTATTCTCATTTCATCCCACTTCTAGGCAGGAGTCTAGGCCAAGTAGGCTTTCAGCCAGACAGTGCAAGAACAAGTGATGTGTGAACGTGCAGGTATTACCCCGCTCGAGAGACCGGCCCAGATCTTGTCTTTTCTCTGGGTTCCATCATCCAGAGTGTGGCTGGAAGGGAAACCGCAAACAACAGCCTAAGACTTCACATGTTCTCTCTTCGCTGCAGCAAGGGTAGAGGTCAGGGTGCAAAGGTCTCAGAAACTTGGATTCCATGGATCTTAGAAACTAACATTGGCATAGATTTTGATGGTCTCTGAGTCATCTCTGATGTGCAAAGTGTTTTCACATACACTTTCCTGCTGAAGTTGATAGACCAATATTATTATTCCCAAATTGGAGACAAACAAAGGGATTATGGTACTCATCTAAAACCATGGCATTGCCACCAAAACCCGCTTCCTGTGGACTCATGCTCAGTCATGTTGTTTGTTTTTTCTGCCCTTTCAAGCCAATCATTTCCCGCCTTTTTTTTTTTTAAGATTTTATTTATTTATTTGACAGAGAGAGAGAGAGAGACAGCGAGAGAGGGAACACAAGCAGGGGGGAGTGGGAGAGGGAGAAGCAGGCTTCCCGCCAAGCAGGGAGCCCGATGCGGGGCTCGATCCCAGGACCCTGGGATCATGACCCGAGCCGAAGGCAGACACTCAAAGACTGAGCCACCCAGGCACCCCAAGCCAATCATTTCCCACTTTTGCTTTTGGTGTATCATCACTTAGAGAATCAAATGAGCACTTTGGATTCCCATCCCAGAAAAAAAGCACATTTATTCACTGGCATACACACGGGCACATGCACACACACACAGAGTTGTATATTGGCACAAGCTAAAATTATTGAGGATCCCAAAGAGTTTTGTTTATATGGATTGTATCTATCAATATTTACTGGATTCAATATTACAGTGGGAAATTGTAAAAATAGTTATCAATTCATTAAAAAGAAACACCCCCAAAATAAGATAAAGTAGGGGCGCCTGGGTGGCTCAGTGGTTAAGCATCTGCCTTCGGCTCAGGTCATGACTCCAGGGTCCTGGGATCGAGCCCCGCATCGGGCTCCCTGCTCCGCGGGAAGCCTGCTTCTCCCTCTGCCACTCCCCCGGCTTGTGTTCCTCTCTCGCTGTCAAATAAATAAATAAAATCTTTAAAAAAATAAAATGAAACCCAACACATGTTAACATCAGAGTGGCGATGCCAGCACGCATCATGTAGCTTCTGGAAAACTCCACTGCACACTCAGCATGAGAGTAGAGAAGGCAAATAGTATCTTAGCATTGCTATGAAAATAGTTTTAAACGCACAGATCCCCTGGAAGGGTCTTGAAGACCCATGGGTGTCCCGGAACCACACTTTGGGAACTGCCTACTAGATCGTTCTCCTCAAGACCCAGCTGCCCAATTACTCAGCATCAAGTTTCAGTCCCTCGCCCCTGCGGCTGCTTCCTCCTCATGTCTCCTCTACTCACCCCCTAGCACTCTCCTGCTTGAGCCTTCCAGCCCCGGGTTTGTCTCTAGTACCCTTCAGGGCTTTGTTCTCTCCCCTCAAAAGCCCCCTTGCCTGGGAGGTTCTTGTTCTTTTCCAGCCACCCCATGGCTCAGTGGTCAGTCCCACCCTCAGACTCCTGGACTGTCCCTGCCCGGCGACCTCGGGCCGTGGTTCTTCTCTGCAGGTGTGTGTGCTAGTTTCTCCACCAGATGAGCCCGGGGGGCAGGGGACGGCTTGGATTTAAACCCTAACTCTGCCTCACTAGCTTGGTTTACATTTTTTCATTGGAATAAAAAAATTACATAGTAGCATATACTTCTTGGAGAAAAAAGAATAGGGTCTTGCATAAGGCAAAAGGAGCCTCTTCCTCTTGCTCGATTCCTTCCTGCTCCCCGGGGGGTAACCATAGTGGATCCTTGTCAGGTGTTCTTCGAGACCTTTTCGTAAACATATGCATGTGTACAAGCTTCTTCTAATTTTTCTATTGTTATAAAGAAGAGACCGTATCATACCTATGTCCTAGAACTTGCTTTCTTCTTTTCCTTTTCCTTTCTCTCTCTCTCTTTCTTTCTTTTTTTTAAGATTTTATTTATTTATTTGATAGAGAGAGAATGAGAGAGAGAGAGAGCACATGAGAGGGGGGAGGGTCAGAGGGAGAAGCAGACCCCCTGCCGAGCAGGGAGCCCGATGTGGGACTCGATCCCAGGACTCCAGGATCATGACCTGAGCCGAAGGCAGTCGCTTAACCAACTGAGCCACCCAGGCGCCCCTCTCTTTCTTTCTTTTTGATAAAATATCAAAGATACTCTTTGAATAGGTCTGCCATATTCTTTTTTCAATTTTTTTCCCAACACAAACGAGTCTCATTTATTTGAACAGTTTCATTAAATAAGTCCACAAGGGTAACAAACCTCAGGACCAAGCATATTTGGACAAAAAGTCTAGTGTTCTGGGGGCTACCTGGCTGGCTCAATCCATAGAGCATGTTACTCTTGATCTTGGGGTTGTAAGTTCAAGGCCCATGTTCGGTATAGAGATCACTTAAAAACGAAATCTTAAAAAAAAAGTCTAGTGTTCTGAGTTGGAGCAAAATGTCCAGTCAGTGATTGAACCAGAACCCCCTTAATATTTAAACTTATTTTACTTTTTACTCTATGTATTTAAATAACATAAAGAAAAACTCTAATTCAGGAAAAAATTCATGTGGAAAAAGATATGCTAGAAACAAAATAATCTGAAAAGTTTAAAGACCCAGTTTATACCATAGGAGGAAAATAATTAAAGCTATTTTGTGTTAAAGTTTTCTGTAAGAGAAAGAGCCTCAGTCATTAATGAATGAAGAACAAAGTGCTCTGTCGGGCTGTCCTGCCCTGGGCAATGTCTCCTTCTGTCTTATATTGCTTTAGATGCCCACCCTGTCTGCTCTATCACACTCGTGCTCTCCCAAGGACTTTTGAGCAAATAACGTAGGCCAAGTGGATAACTTTCTTTAAAAAGGGTATGCCTGGGGGCACCTGGGTGGTTCGGTCAGTTAAAGCATCTGCCTTCAGCTCAGGTCATGATCCCAGGGTCCTGCTCCGTGAGGAGCCTGCTTCTCCCTCTGCCTGCTACTCCCCTTGTGATCTCTCTCTCTGTGTCAAATAAATAAAATCATTAAAAAAAAAAAGGGTATGCTTGGGTTCCCTGGGTGGCGCAGTGGGCTCAGTGTCGACTGTCGATTTTTGGCTCAGGTCATGGTCCAGAGGTGGAGCCAATAGCTGACTCCACGCTCAGCAGGGAGTCTGCTTGATACTCTCTCCCTCTCCCTCTGTCCCTCCCCCGTGTGTGTGCACTCTCTCCAATAAATAAATAAATCTTAAAAAAGAAAAAGTATTCCTGCCCTCTTCATCTCCACTTTCCAAATACTTTTGCTTGAACTTATCTCATTTTTGCAGCTTTAAAGAGTCAACAAAAACACCCATAAGGGAACAGGCAGGATCTCCCCAACTTTGTGAGCTGGTTCCTTGTGCCTTGAGCTGGGTGAAGGGCTAGAAATGTACAATTTCTCCCATTCAAGAAACAAGAAGAGCACCCAAGAAATCAAGTCCCAACCTCCCTCCCTGTTTTCAGAGCACTGTGGAGATCCCAAACAAAGCCAGTTAGGCAAGAATGTATTTAGAACTTTTAAGTTCCTTTCTATACCAAAATTTAAATTTTTAATTATTTTTAAAAAATTTTTAAAGATTTTATTTTTTTATTTGACAGAGAGAGACACAGCGAGAGAGGGAACACAAGCAGGGGGAGCGGGAGAAGGAGAAGCAGGCTCCCCGTGGAGCAGGGAGCTTGATGCGGGGCTCGATCTCAGGACCCTGGGATCATGACCTGAGCGGAGGGCAGACGCTTAACGACCGAGCCACCCAGGCGCCCTTAAATTTTTAATTATTATATTTATTATAAACCCATCAGTTTTATCCTTTTATGGTTTTTGTATCTTCTTGGTCTTGCTTGGAAGGAGCTTTCATAATCCCAATATTTAAAAAAAAAGTTCACCACTGTTTATTTCTAGTACTTTCATATGGTTTGCTCTTCAATCTATCTGAATTTATTCTAGGGTATTTCCCCAAACTTATGCGTCAATTAATCCCTCTAGTTAAGCATTTCCCCATTTATTTAAATGCCCCCGTTAACATGTAAAATATTCTTTTATTCTCATAGCTGTTTCTGGATTATATTCTGTTCTATTGATTTGTTCCAATGACTCTGTGCACTGCATTGTTTTTATTACTATAGCTTCAAGGTAAGTTTTGATATCCAAAAAGATATCTTCCCATTTTTCTTTATTTTCCCATTTTTTTCTTGGCTTTTTTTTTAAAGCTCTTTTTTTTTTTTAAAGATTTTATTTATTTGAGAGAGAGAGAATGAGAGATAGAGAGCACGAAAGGGAAGAGGGTCAGAGGGAGAAGCAGACTCCCCACTGAGCAGGGAGCCCGACGCGGGACTCGAACCCGGGACTCCAGGATCATGACCCGAGCCGAAGGCAGTTGCCCAGCCAACTGAGCCACCCAGGCGCCCTCTTGGCTTTTTTTTTTTTTTTTAATACTTCATTAGTTTTACAACCTAGAGTAAGTCTGAGTCTGTTTTCTCATCTGAAAACATTAAGACTATGGGCTCTAGAATCATTTGTCTAGATATCAGTGTGGTCCACCCAGGAAAATGGAAAGTCTTCTCGGTCCTTCAAGAAGAGGAGATTTTAATGCGGGGAATTGGTGACCCGAGATGGAAGGACTAAGAAGCCTAGTGCAAGAACAAGAATCTACTCGACTGGGGGTACAACAGGAGGAGGAGTAATATTGCTAGAGCCCAGAGATGGAGCCATGTGGTGGCATGTAGGACATGGAGACTCCCTGATAGAAACTGGGACCACGGAGTGAGAGACTGCAGAGCAGATGTAGGTAGGAGACATAGCTGTTGCCAGAGACACCACAGGAAGCAAAGAGAGAGAAATGGGGAGAAATATTCTGTTTTCTCTCCTCCTCCCTCTCTCCAAGCTTCCATTGCGGCTTCCCTTTGGACTGAATCAACCTGGAAGCCAGAGAGCAAGGGAGCCTGGGAAATGTAGTCCTCTGTGATACAGCATAGAGGTTAGGAAAGGCAAGGAATTAATCTGAACAAATTGAGGCAGTTGGCCACAACCACATACCAGTTGTGTGACCTTGGGAAAGTTGTTAACCTCAGGTTGTCTCTGTTCCCTCCTCCAACAAGTAGGGATAAGTAACAGTAGTATTTACCTCACAAGGCTATCATGAGGATTAAATGCATTAATATAGGTTAAACACCTTTAAAGCACGTAACAAGTATTATTTATTATTATTATTATTATTCTGTAAAATGAAGATAACAATGCTTATCTTGCAGAGTTATAGTCAACAGTAAAGTGAGATAATGACTAAAATGTTTGCATGTAAATGGTCGTGGGTACTTCATAAATGTTAGCCCCCTTGTGGCCCCAATGCCTCATCCTTAGCACATACTTAATAATGTCTGTAGCTGATGGTAATGATGGCCCCCCACTGGGGAGGAGGCAGCCTCCCGAGAGTTGGGAGGGGCATTCTTGCCGTGCTGAAGATCTGGGGGGACTCTGGAGGGCTGGAGCTTTAGGGGTCTGGGCTATGCACAGGCCTACATTAACGGGTACAACCATACATGAAGACACATTTGGAATGACATTCTGCATCCTTTTCAGACGTTTCTTCTCCTGCTGCCATTGGTGCCCCTTTTCTGATTTTAGCCTGTTCTCATTGGCTTATACGGATAACTCTGCATTTCTGTGTTTGCATCTGTGGTATGACCTGTGTGTGTAAAGTATGTCACCACTTATGGATGTTGTCCCATCTGACCTTCCGGACAAGCTCTCTAATGCAGACAGGGCTGGCTTCTTCATCCCTGTTGAATAGCAATGGAAGCCAAAACCTCAAGAAGACAAGTGGCAGACGCAAAGGCCCATAGGGACTTGGGACTAAACCATCTCACTCTAACTCAGGACTCTTCCTACTAATATCCCAGGCTGCCTCCCATGAGCACATGTGAGTTAATGTGCACATACATGCATGCCTGCACCCCACACGTACAATAGATACAATATCCCTGCAGGGAAGGTTCATGCCTTGTCAATCTTAGTATTCCCTCCAGTAGATAAAGTGCCTGGAAGCTAGGAATTAATAGTGATTGTGAAATTGACTTGATCTTGACTCTGGAGCCAGCTTGTCCTGGGGGAGAGAGAGAAGGCGCACAGATGAAGATCATGGCCAGAGCCAGAGTTCAAGACCAGCTTGACCGAACTCTGACAGTGGTCTGGCCCTCCATTCCGGCTCTGCCCACACCCTTTCAGGCCACCCACAGAGCAGAAGGGCCTGGTCACCAGGAGAGGCTGGAGAAATGGATCTGCCCACCTGGCTCTGCCCCAGGACTTGTGACAGTTCCTTCTGGGGAGTGGGAGCCCTGGCAGGCAAGAGCTTGCTATAAAACAACAGTGCTAAACACCCACCTGCTTCAGCTGCCCACCCAGGACCTGGCATCCACAGTGATGCCTGGGAAACCAGTTGGAGCAGAGGCCTCATTCATGTGGGCACAGAGTGAGGACAGGGAGCATAGGACACTAGGAATTAGAATGAAATGGGTCACCACTATTAGGGCATTACTGTTTTGCCAGGCACTGCTGTATAAAGGTACCTGCTTCTACTCTTCACACAGCCACGCACAGCACTGCTGGACTCTGACTCAGCCCTTTGCACTTGCTTCAGCTATGAACTTGCTCCCCTGCGACATTTTGTAGATGCTACGTACTTGATTAATTTGGCCTGACTTTGCATCTGTGCTCTCTCCTGATCCTGAAATGGGAGGCCATGGTGTCCTGTCAGCCTGAAAGACTTCTGGAGCAGGGGCATGGGGGTGGGCCCGGCACAGGTGGCCCAGGCTGCTGCCCACACCACTGCTATGTGCTTTCAAGAATCCTGTTGGCTGCCCTATTCTCTCCTCTGCCCACAGAAGTCTCAGCACCCTTGAGAATCAACAGGAAAAGGCAGGATCATGAATTCAACAATGAGCGGTGAGTGGGAAGAATAAAAGCCAAAGGCCTCCCACCCCACAGTGCACTCTGAGACCACACAGAGCCTCTACCCACCCCTCATCCCCTCCCACCATATCTCTCAGGCCTCACTTCCTCTTCCTCTCCTCTCACATTATTCTTCACTGTTCCTAGAACATGCCAGGCTCACTCCTGCCACGGGGCCTTTGCACCACTCTTCACCCAGATAGTCCCATGCTCCCTCCTGCTTTCTGTTCAGGCCATTGTTCTAATGCCACTTTCTCCCCAAGACCTTCCTTGACCACCCTCTCTACCACTGCAAACCCCCATCACACTCCAGTCCCCACCCCCCTGCTTTTTCCTTGGTACCTCTTACCATCCACCTTGCTTATCTCGATGACTGGTCTCCCTGCCTGAGCAGTTTTGTCTGTACCTCCAGCACAGAAACAGTGCTGGACCCTGATTTTCACAGGAATGGGGCTAGACTGCAGGCTACTGTCAGGCAGCCTGTGGTTCAGGTCAGGCCCCCTCCCTCCCGGGCCTGACTACGCTCATCTGTCTAATGACGTGGCAAGGGGCCCTTCTTTGTGCAAGCTGCCTTCCCTTCCCATGGTAGTAACTGAGGAGTCCAGGTGACATGCTCTTACCACCCCAGGGAGGCCCAGACCGAGGGCACCGAGGGCACCCAGGGCAGGGCAGCAGGAAACAGCTGCTAGCCTGACTAACTGGGATCTCAAGTGGCAATCCCTCCAGGCCTCAGTGCGGCTCACGATTGTTAGCTGTTGAGACTCACATGGCGTCCTGGCCTGACCTGGCCCTAGATGACCAGGAGGCACACTTGAAAAAATAACCCTATCTGAGGGAGTTGACACTGAGGCTTGGAAGAGGAATAGAGACTTGCTGAACTCTGTACAGAAATTTTGCAAAAGTAGACTTGGTCCAGTCCTTACGAGGACTCCCACTGTGCCAGGCACTGTTCTAGGCAAGACCAGAGCAAAGAAGCAGAGGGGCAAGGCCCTGGCTTGCTCTGGGTGTTAACCTATGGGTTCTGCTATGCCATCCCTTCCCAAGGCCCGGGCCCTGCTTCCCTTCCACCTCCTGCTCTCCAGTATCTTAATCCTCCCCTGACCTACCAGCTCTATCTAGACGGGTAGATTCCCGTCATCTCCAAAACAGAGCAACGGTGACAACGCGCTGCACCCCGCCCCTGCTGGGCCAATGGGACTACTGCGCCGGCCTCACCGTGTCCCCTCCTCATCCCAGTCACATCAGCTTTGTACTTCTGTCCAGCTTTTGGGAAACTCCAAATCCCTCTCTCACGACCACCTGCCTATGTTCTGCCGCCTTCTACACCTGTTGGGCTAAGTGCCTCAGCGGCCCCCAAACGGATCATATGGCCCCGTGTTCAGCACATTCGGGTCCTCATCCAGTTTTCCCTGTCAGAACCGTCTCTTCTCTCCCTTCCCTCTGCCTCTGCTGCTCATCATGGGATAAATCAACTCTCTCATCTTCAAGGGGAGGCCGACTTCTCCCTGATGAACTCTCCACAGCCTAGCATGCCTGCTCACCATGAACGCATCGCCATTGGCCCCACACATCTTCCCATGTAATTATTGACTATCCGAGGGTGTTCGATGTATGTGTATACTATCTCTCCAAGAGGAAGTAAACGCCTTGAGGGCAGAGACAACTTTATCTTTCTGTAGCCTATACAGCCCAGCACCCACTCACTGGGCACTCAGTCCATGGTAGATTTGACCCAGGGATTTATGGATATCTTAAAAGGATACATTTGGGGAAATGTGTATTTGTTTACAGATATTAAGAGGAAAATGTAGAATCCAAGGTTGTATTATGGTCCAAATACTACAATTTAAACTGTGTATCCAATGGGTAAACCCGAAAGGCTATTGGTAAAAATAAACAAAAGAATTGTGTGTTAGGGTTGTTAGGTCATGAGTGATTTGTTCAAATAGTCTGTGAATGTTGTTATCGCATTGTTTATGCATTTAAAAAGATTTAAAAAATGGATCGAGGCTTTAAGTGTCACTGAAACATTTCACTCTTGGGTACAAACTCATTAAGTCTTTCTTAGGAAATAAGTGGGAAGGGGAGTGGGGTGGGCAGGATTGGTCGTCCTTTGGAGAGTTTGCTCAAGTCATATTTATACACGAATAGATGAGGAAAGGCAAGTGCAATTTTTGCCTGCAAATGTTCATTCCCTGGGGATGGGACAGAAAAATAAACAGTTTAAAATAACCAAATGAAATCACGTGAGCTGTAAAGGTTTTTTTTTTTTTCTTCTCTCAACAAGAATGAAAAGGTCATGCATTCCTCTTGAGTTTCCTGACGTTTTGTGCCATAAAGC